GCAAAGCTGGGAACATCCTGAAGTTCAGACAAGCCTGTGTTGTAAGAATATGAAATAAATCCACATAATGGAGGGAACATACAGAAAGCTAACCCTGGATTTACTGTTTTGTCACCAGCAGGAAGTGCACAAATGCACTCATGTAACTGGCTGCCAAACCAGGTTCCTGAGAAACACCCAGACATTACACCTTCACATGGCTTGCACTGTTCCAAAGTGAATTCCAAAATTCATTTCCTTCTGGTGCAGGGACAGGGTATACGCAAAAACTGTCAGACTACAGAGCAAGATACAACAGAAGCACAAAGACAGAGGCAGAAAATGTAATAATCCATATACACCATTGACTATTTTACTCTAGGAAACTTAAGTAACTGTTCTTTACAAACTGGAAAGGGGAAGAAGTTGGTGTCACCCACTGGGCAAGATTCTCCATGGCATAAATCTATAAATTTAAATACCAAGGGACTTCAAATGCACACAGAGTTAATTTCACATGTTCTACTGAATTGCTTAAAAGGTTAAAATAATGTCTGATACACTGGCAACCTACACACAAAAACAGAAACAGAAAGATGCATTATTATCACAGTTTTATCACTGACATACAACATGACCTTAAACAACTCACTTAAAGTCATTTACTTCAACAGCAAATGCGGGCTCACTGCACCCAGCTCAGGGATGTATGGGAAAGCTTGGCACCTAGTGAACACTTGTGAGACCTCAGGTGTTAGGTGCTGCTAAACACCAGGTCAGTTGCACCACTGCAGTCCTCAGCCCCATCACTTCTGAGAGGGGGCTGGAAGGAAGCCTCTCTTCACATTCAAGTTAGTATTTGGGTTACCAGGAAAAACAACCCACTCCTGCACTTTTCCCAGTAACTAAATGGAATACAAAGAACAAATCACAAACCATACGGTTAACTTTTAAATAAAAAAAAAAAACAAGACTTCCTTCACATACCCACAAAGTCAGTATTTAAAGTTTGTCCAAGGTTTCAAATAACTTGAAGACACCAGCTATTATTGTTTCAAACAAGCACCTAATCACAAGCTATTTCAGCATCTTGACTATATAGTGTTTCACGAGCTTCTGCAGGGGACAAGCATGAAATAAACAAGTGTCTGACACCACTGGAGAATTCCCAGTTTTATTTAACCTAACATCCAGAAAACTGAGTCAGGGCCCTAATAAACGAGCAGCAGGGAAGCAGAAGCAGAGTCGCAAACATGTTCTTATCACCCCCACCCAAGTCGCAATGCAGAAGCACTGTTACTGTAAGATCAACAATATCAAGCCTTACCTCAGTCCAGACCTGCACACTCTCATGTATAAGTAGTCATTTCTTTAAGAAGAATGACTTAGAAGATTTACATGCAACTAACTAGAAGGAGGACTGGACCCACAGACATCTGGAAGCATTAAAAAGGGACTGTACCAGGCTCATCATAAGCACTTACTCTCCCACTCCAAAACATTACTGTCACTTTCACAAAAGAGACACCAAAAGGCTTATTTTATGTGCCAGTACCAAGTCCAGTATGTATGTGTGTGTAAACATTATATAAAAATGTATTTATATACACTTTTTTCTTTTATGGAAAAAAGTAAATAAAATCAAGACATTTCTTAACTGACAGGTTATCTTTGAAGTTTTCTTTTTAGGAAATCTAAAAAGCTACAAGAGACTAAAATATGTTAATGGCATACTTCTTGTCCCCTAAATTGTCAAACAACTAACGAGAACCTGAAACTAGCCTTCTTTTAGGTAATTCTTCTGAGCATCTGAAGATGCCCTATACATAGCTCGTATCTTAATCAAGCTATAGGCATTTTTGTTTCTTATACCTTTAAGGGCTAGCTTATTAATCGTGTATCAGATAACCGCTCTGACTAAAATATCATATTGGACACAGAGTTTTTACTTTTATTTCAAGATGAGAAGTGTCATATTTGAGATTCCATCAAGGCATTAAAAGTAAGTTACAAGTCCCAGCTTCATTCTGAGAAAATTCACAGATCAATGAATTAGCTTACCTTCACAAAGCTTTCTCAAGAGACACCACAAGCAACTGAGCCTCTGGGCTAGGGATAATTCAGCACTACCTTGGTAGAGTTCAGGCATGCAGGGACAGTGGTGTGCTATGTGCATATGGGACATAACCCAATAGACATCATCAAATGTAGTACAGTCACAGAATGGCACTGCCTTATCCCCAACTCACATAAAAGCTATTTCATGCTTTTCGATAGTTCTAATTGAAGTAACATCATTACTATTTTGTGAAACACCAGAATGCTCCAATTCATGCCCTCAATGCTTCAAACTCCTTCCACTGACTAGACAGGAAATGTGCACATTGCAGGTCAGGGGGTAATCAGGTGCCTGAAGTTGACAGCATCAACTCAGAACTGAGTCAATGCAAGGCCTGACATAAAAAACTAGTTTTAAACCCAGACTGAACCACAATGCAATTTGTGTCTAACTGCACATTAATTAACAGCTTTGTAAGAGACAACTGACATCATAAGAAAAAAACTTAATCTTAGGTTTGGGTATTTCAAGAACAGATTATGTACTGTAACTATAGCCTTAGCATCTGAAAAACGTAAGTCACCTATTCCCATAATTACATATTAAAGGAAACCTCCTTAAATACACAGCAGATGGAAAAGTAAAGCAACTCCGTGGGACAAAGCATGACTAACTGCTCTGTTCGAGTCCCTGTGAAGTCAACTACAGGCTTTTCTTTAATTTCCATAGGAATTCAATGAGGTCAGACTCTTAAGCACATGAATTTCTGTATGTATATTCCAGGCCCTGGCAAACTGAAAGTGATCTGATACCCTACCTTAAAAAAAACCTCCGCCTGCTACCATAACATAGCCAAACTAGTTTGTCACCCAGAAAAATTATTAAAAACATGTAAATATTCAGTCTTGGTTGCATTTCTCAAATACAGATCATACTGCATTACCAGTGATGTGGTATACCGTTGAATCATTCTTTGCTTGTCTGACAGTCACTTCTAAACAGCTGCACATGCATACAAGCTGCAGTAAAACAGATGTTTTCAAGATTTAAATGAACAATTGACACAATTTCAGTTCTCTTAAGTTGCAGCTTTACTAAACCCAGTTAAGAATAATCCTTCCCCAAAACATACTGAAAGCATGTTTATACTGAAACTGAACTTCTGTACTGATGAAGATAAAAATAGTTTGGGCGTAATTTAAGATGGCTCAGCAAAGGTCCCCATTTAAGATAGCTGAGAAAACATAACTTGGAAAATTTCAGGTGTAGTAACCAAGAACTCCATTCCACCTGTGAATGCCACTCTGACCTCACTTAGCCGTCTGCCAGCTGCTTACAAAAACAAAGGGCAAAGAACAAGACAAAACCTCCTGTGTTTGATATTCCCTCTTAGTTAGTGAACGTCTAAATTTACAAGCCACAATTTCCTTTCTACATCTCTCAAAACAAACAAAAAAGCTAATCTTAGAACAGCTTTTCTCCTAAAGGTGCGCCAGAAGTGACAAAAAAGGACCTCCAGAAGTCCCATCCAACCTCCGCTGTTCTGAAATTTGATGACCTTCTGGGTTTTTGTATTTTAAAGTCAGATTGCTTTGTTCAGGCAATCACTTTGGTGTAGATTTAGATTTTAAAATGCCAAAACCAAATTGTGAATTCTGAGTTTCAACACCCACCTTTAAGTCCACCCTTCAGAGGCTAAGGGCAGCTGAACACAAGTTCTTTTGCTGGTCTTTCCCAGTGGAAAGACACCAGGTATTCTTTTGTCTCTCTGCATCCCGTAACTTGTATTCAGTGAAGAAAAGTAGTAAAGGCCACAGGCACAGAGCCCACCTGCAGTGGCTGCCTATCAGCAAGGAACTGATGGCCACCAGGAAGCCCGTAAGAAGTTTTTTTGCATTGCCAGAATGGCAATGTGATCAACTACCGACAGACTGGTACTACTCTGTTATAGTGAGCTCCTTATAATTCATTTATTTTCTTGAGCTTGTATGGCAGGCTCCTCACACTACAGTAAAGTGTCCAAATGTTCTGATATGTGCCGAGATTAGTGACTAGTCTGCTAGCACCTTTGTGACTTTAATATAAACGTTTTGGTTAGTTTTGTGGAGTGGGAATTTGTTTACTGTAGGTTAACAGTCAGCTCTACTCTTCAATAGCATACACTTCATTATCTTGTAGGACTCTTGAGTTGGGGCCTTGGTCTTTCAAGCAGCATACACTGGAGAAAGGATGGATTCTCAGAGATGTGTTCCACTTGTGCCTGGCAACGCAAAGAAAACTTACTGGCTTCCTGGTCGCCATATGCACTATCTTCCAGAGTCAGCATATCACAGGACTTCATTAGTATTAAATGAAAGTCATTTTAGCCTGTATAGTTTTCAAACCTGCATTCTTTTAAAAATGGTATTTTTAAGCTAATACGTATCTTGTACAAGAACTGTACAAACACAAGAAGTATCTATCAAGAAATTCATCTTATTTAAGAAGTGACCATCCAGTATAAGTAAGTAGCCTGCAGTAGTGTAAACTATTCAACTGGGGGGAGGGAGGGGGAGGAGTAGCGGAAAGCAAACAAGGACACCCAAACCTTCATATTAAGCATCTTATAAATAGCTTTTTTTTGCATTATTCTCACTGTCTAAAAATCCCACATGCACACAAGAATGAAGTGATCTGAATATACAGTTGGAGAAAAAACATAAAATACTTCTCTTTGGGCCTTCTACAGCACACATTATTGTGTTATCGTCACACATCCCTGACTCTAGATGTTCAGTCCAGACCATGTCTAGAGGGACACTCAGAGACTTGAAGATATATGAAATGGAGATGGGAAATCTTCAAGTGTGAGATTTAACAGGAAGCTCAGTCCTCACAGCAAACACTCTTACTCAGGGGTAAAACACCCCCTACCTCCCACAGCACAGTTCTTCCCAGACCTTCTACTTGGGAATTTCTTCACCTGGAGAAGCTGTCACAAAATGGTGATTGGGCTAACTTCCAAAATGGTGCTTTCTCTCCATTCTAAAAATGTCACATCTTTATTTTCACTGATTTATCTTACTGCATCTTTAAAGGGACCATGGACCTTTCAATGCATATCCTTAAAGAAAATTAAGAGTATCCACAAAGGAAATTAATGTGGCATGACTACAACACAACTGCATTCCCCCAGGCGGAAAGGCCCTGCAACATTTCACTAAAAGAGACCTTTTTCAAGTAATCTATCAAGCAGGCTACCACCAACCCCACAGGGGATCATTCTTCCCAGGGACAAGAAACTGTAAAACTGTATTTCATTAGGCAGGGGTAGAGAAGGGGGGGGGGGAGAGGCACATCATAACTCACCACCATGATTACTCACACTCAAACTACCGCAAATATTTCTTTCGTGTCCATTACTTCAAAACCCACCACGTTTGGAGTTTTAAGGAATCATTAAAGTATCTAACCGCACCTCCAGAACAATTCAGGAGTTAAAGGGTGCTTAGAAACTACAGATGTAAGAAACCTAGGGATTGCCAACTCAATGCATCACCACCGAGGTACGACTTCCCTGCCCTATGCTTATTCCTTTCTTCTCCAAGAGATGTGAGGTCAGAGACTTCTACAGTTCGATGCTGCAGCTCTGATTAGATTTCATAATCAAAAGAGAATCAAAAGATCATATTGCCATTTTCCAGTATCACAGAATGGAAAAGGCTAAGGTTCAGCTTGCGTCAGGAACGTTAAGCACAAAGAGATACCAGGTGATCCCCATCATATGAGCAACAACTCTTAAAACTCTTTAAAGAGAGGCGTCATGGGTCTGTGGTGCCTGTTCAAGCAATGAAAGGCAGTAACACTAGTTCTGACTCACAAAATGTGAAGAGCCAAGCTGAACACATCTTAAAAGGCAGCTTATGTTTAGAGAAAGATAGAGGGATTTGCAAAATGATGCAATTCCTAAAATAGAAACTCCCCCGTTTGACAGAGGACAAAATAGGATGGGGAAAAAAAAAAAAAAGAGTAACACATTTCTCTAAATAATGGCAAATATTCCCTTCAACTTCAGAAGCACCACAGCAATACAAGAGGATAGAGACGACAGATACTGCGAGTTTTACTTTTCCATTCCCTGGTTCTGAGAGACGGCAGAGAAGACAGGCACGGCAAGGAAAGCAGTGGTGGCCGTTTCGCCGGATTGTCAAGGTTACTCCTAAAACACAGCGCTGGAGGGACACCAGCAGATCCGCTTAATATGCCGGCCGGTTTTGCGCTGCTCTTCACCACACGGAGAATCTCCACAACAGGGAACAAGAGAACTACCGCTCCCGGGCTGCACCAGCGGCCCCGGCACCTCGCAGGGCTCTGGGCCGGTGTCGGAGCGGAGTCTCCCGCTGTGGGGGGATCACAGCCCCCCCCCCCCCGCCGTCCCGCTCCGACAGCCTCCGACGGCGAGGCGCGGAGGGCTGCGCTGCCAGACGCACCGCTCCCCTCACCCCAGCTCCGCAGGCGGCCGCCCCGCCCGGCAACAGCCACCTCCCCTCGAGGGCGCAGCCCTGGCCCGGCACTCCCGGGACGCCCAGTGCACTCCCGGCACTGGGATCGGGGCGGGGGACGCCACTGCGGAGTTGAGCGCTAACTCGCTACCAGCTTCCTCAGGGGGCTTCTCCCGCGGGTGCCGCGGCAGCAGGCAGCCCCAACGGGGTGGGCGCGGCGCCGCCACCCAGGGAGCCAGTGCTCCACCGAGCGCAGCTCCCACCCCGCCCGCACCACGGCGACCCGCGGCACGGCGGCTACCATCCCGCACCTACCTTCCTGCCGGCTCAGACTCCTCTGCTGGATACAGCAGCGCGCGGAATCCGCGCGGAGCGCAGCACTGTGCCGTACCCCCTCCGTTCCGTGCTGTGCCCCGCGGCGGCAGCTGCCGCGCTGCCAGCGCCAAGGCGTGAGGGCGGCCCCAAGTGAGCGTGCTGCGCCAATTGGGGCCGCCCGCGGGCCGCCCCCCGCCACCGCTGTCCCGGGCCGGCCCCGAACCGGCGGCAGGGAAAAGCGGGGCAGGAAGCGGGTTTGGGAGGCGGGGAGGAACTAAGCGCGTTGGAACGGGAGTTTGGGATCGTCGGAGGGGAAGGAATTGACGAGCCCCACACGCTCCTGATGGCGGGCTGGCTGCCGCTTCCGCGCCTACGGGGCCCCGCGTAGCCTGAGTGGCTGCGGCTGCGGTGGTGGCGGCGCCGCACCCCGAGAGCGAACCGTGGGAGCGGGCCGAGCACGCAGCGTGGCGGCGGGCGGGGGAGGCTCCGCGGGGGGCGGGTTCCGCCGGGGCGGGCGGAGCGCCCGGCTCCTGGGCTGCGAGAGTTTGGACGGGCAAAGCTCCAAAATGAACGTCTGAGGCATCCCCTCGGCGCTCTTGAGAGTTTTGCAGCGCTGAATGTGCCGAGGACAACGGCAGCACGTAAACCCCTTGTCACAAAGAGCCCGCGGTGCGGGAGCCGGGTCTGGCTGTTCTGCATAGTCCGAAGGTAAAGCGACGCAAAGAATGCGCGTCGGGAGAGTCCCGAGCCGGTCAGGTGCGGGCACGGCTGCTCTAGCCCGTGGTGAGCTTCCTGAGGGTGTGACGTGCTGCTGCAGCCTCGGGCTTCAAGTAAATAACACCAGAGGGCTACGAGGGTGAGGATGCGACTGGAAACAGATTCTGCGACTGTTCTTTCTCCGTGGGCATCAGTGAGATGCCTAGGTTCAGCGCCACGCTGCCAGGACTGCTGTGTATTCACTCTGGGAATGCAATGCTAGAAAACAATAAGCTGGTTAGTAAGAAAATAAACATTCCTAGCATAGCAAAATATTTTTGTACTTTATTTTACAGTGTTTATCACACTGCATTTTTGTATGACTGTCAACATGAATTATAGTTAGTACAGTTTCCGTTACTTAATGAAAATGTAAATTGACTGCTTAGTGTGTGTGTATTTTGATACCATCATTCAATCTAAAGGTTGCTAATGTTCCAGCGTGGCAGTTGCTCACTACCGCCTCCGTTTTTCAGTCCATTGCACTCAGTTGCGTTGCTGCGCCTTTAGATCTCACTTAAAAAATGCCCTGAAATCCATTCAATGACTCATATAAATTTCAGTAAGTTTTGCATGGGTGTCGTGGAAACAGGCCAATCTCCTTCAGTTGTAGGCAACAGCCTCCCACAAATGCCTTGCTGCCTCCCCATCTTCTACATGAAGAAGTTCAGCCTGTGGTGGCCTTCAGTGGCCTTCAGTTTTCCCTCCATACTAAAAATAGATTTGCAAAACAGGGATCGCTTTTTTGCGTGAGTCAGGTTGCTGGTAGAGTTCAATGGCTCCAGCATCCGTGGGCTTCTGGCCAAATGCACTGCTGTGAACAGAAAACAGGGAAAACAGGACACAGCTCTGAGAGGCAAAGTTGGAAACAAGATTACATTTTTTCCTCACAAATCTGAGCTTTGAGACCTTCAAAGAGTTCATCACTGTGTTTTTCAGAAGGAGTAACTCTGGAACATCCAGATATGTATCCATTCTTACCTACTAACTAAATACCAAGTCTTCTAAAATGTCATTTTCTAACTTCTCTGCAACCATACAGACAAGTAACACTGAAGCTCAGATAGCCGTTTAATTGCCTGATTCCAGAAACCAAGAAGAGCTGGAATATGCATTCAGAAACACTAAAGATGGCACTTTTCAGCCCTTCAACCTTTTATCCATTTTTTCTTCCTTTAGCTCTAGTGTATTTTGGTGGGGTTTCACTCTTTGGTTTTGTTTGTTTGATTGATTTTTTTCTCTCTTTTTCCCCCGTGGAAGTTCTCTGCAGTCAATGTATTTCAGATGAGAGCAGAACTTGAAGTCCAGCTTTTGATTTTGCAGTTACACAGACCTTTCAAATGTGTCTCATTTTTGCTTCCATCATCTTTTGAACTGTTATTATTTAATTTCAGCAAGTTGATTGTTGCTGCTAGAAATGCCAAATTATATTGATGGACTCTGGTTTATAGTTAAGCATATAGTCTTTCATTTAAAATGGCCTGTACTGCTCCTGTAAAATGTCTAGCTCAGTGTCATTGGGCTTGTCAGGCTGAGCAGCGTGCTTGTGCTCAGCCACAGTTCTCCTCCTATGACTGGATAAATTTATTAGTTAGACAGGTTTAGCACACCAAAACTGTCCAGAAGACTTCAGTTTTCATGCCAAATGGGTCTAGGCAAGCAAGTGGGTTTACACGCAAAAGTAACCCTAAACAATACAAAAAAAATCTGTCAGCCATGTAAAATTATTTGAATGCCTAGAGGCTCAGACAAGTAATATCTGGTGGATTAAAATGAATACATTGGAGAGATTATTGCCCACAGCAGAATGCCAGACTCCTTCACAGTTTTCTGTCTTCATAGTAGAACAGGATGTGTTTGTGCCTCTCCTACCCCAATTCATAGTCTGTTATCTCAGTACAAACTTAACTGCACCTCTAACGTAAACATTCCTTGCAGCGATCTCTGGCCAGGAGGCAGAGCCTAAACCTGGGAAGCCATACTGTCTTAAACTATTTTAATTAATTCTATCAAAGCACCTCTCTGAGAGCCATAGTGTTTGCAAGGTTGAGATCTGAGAAACTCTGAGCTTGCCTGTATGTTCTATAATCCTGTGGGATCAGGAGGGAGGTTCAAACTTGGAAGATTCTTCTTCCATCAGTTCCACCAGGACAGAAGTGGAATGGAGATACTGATGGTTGTCTGGGTCTAAGACTCAGATATGAGTATTCAAAAGGAAAACTTGGCCTTTCTTCCAGGAGCACGAGACTGTGGAAATGGCTTGTGTGCAAGACACTTAAAAATACGTTTCAGACAATGAACTGCTTCCGAGAAATATGACCTCAGAATTTAGGCTAAAGAAGTGTCATGAAGGCCTGGAGAGCAGGAAATCTATTATAGCTATGCAGCTGAACCACTGGAATGCCTAGGAGTGTCACTGATAAACAGCTCGATAAAGGACTAATGAGCAGGATGTCTGCAGTCCATCACAGCACTAACTATGGAGGATACCTGAAGCATTGTATGTGAAGTAATGTGCAAACATATTTAAAGATACGTAGCATAAACT